TCAAGCAAATATCCAAAAATCATTTCCCTGGAGCCAACCAAATGCATCGGCCATTTACACAGGCATATCTGGCACTTGGACATCCTATTGCCGATGTACATGAGATTCCTTGAGACGTACAGTACGCCACCAGAAGGATCAGAAGGATCTGAAACAGTACTTTTTCGAACAATTCTGATTTTTGAAACAAAATAAGTCTTACCAAGAAAAATTGGAATTTCATAGTTTCCAGTATTTGTCTGGAAATTTTCAGATCTATTATATAGGGCGGCGAAAATGTCAACATGTTTTTTCTTTTCAAAATTTGAATGAATTTTGCATAATCCCCAAAATTCGCTAGAAACAAAAAACACAATTCCCATAAAAAACCAGATGAAAGGAACTGAAATTTGATATTCCATTGATCAATGTTGCATGGATTCTTTTTCTGGAATTCGAAAATATGAAATTTTAGATTTTTATACTTTCAGATATTAGAAATCGAAAAAGGGACATTTCACAAAAAGTTTGAAATTTCTAGCGCAATTTTCAGCAAAGTTATAGTCATTTGAAGTTTTAGAGAGACGCAGACAACGAGAGACGCTGCGTCTCCCGCTCGGTAGAGACGCAGACATCTATACTTCAAACGGCTGTATCTCAGCTCCCCGGTGGCCTAGAAATCCCATTTTTCTTCCATCGGGACTAGTTCGGCCACCTTAACATTTCCTAGGCCAGCTTGAGTTTCCGTCAATTTTTCATTCTTACTGTCTACATCTAGGATTTCTAGGCCACCAATGGAAATCCTGGCATTCCACGTCTCCTCCAAAACTTGCCAACAAATACAGGTAAATTTTTGGTTGAAATTTTATTGGAAAAAAATCCCCTTCAAAAATGCATCTCTCCACCGTGTTCTTGGTTTTTCTGCCTACTGTAGCATTCGGCTACTCAGCTACGTTTGATATACAACACACCAAACAGGCCCATGACTTGATGATTCTTCTGAAGGACTCGATCGATTTGGACCAAATCGACGCGTTGGACGCATTTGTGGACCCGAAATTCACTTGGGATGGATGTAAAGAGGTTCTGGGATACGGTAGGTTTTTTAATTTTTGAAAAATATTGAGTTTGAACCAATTTATGAGCATTTGAATGAGATGGCCTAGAAAACCAAATTTTGGATTTCTAGGTCATCTTGTATTTAAGTATATGTAACTTGCCGCAAGTATTATTTTGATGTTTTAAGGTTTAAAAATGTTGATTTTGAAGCGAGTTATGAGCATTTGTGTCCAGTGGCCTAGTTTTGAATTTTCTAGGCCACCAGTTTCCAAGGCTCATATCTCGCTTCAAAATTGAAACTTTCAAAGTTTGAAAAAAGCAATCGATTTCTTATGAGTACCAAACTATATTCTATGTCAAAAAAACCTAGTTTTCCATTATTTGGTTTCCTATGCCATCTGAAACCGGTGGCCTAGAAATCCAAATTTCAGAAAACTAGGTCATGAATATATTCAAAATGTTTGCCAAATTGCTCAAAGACCATCTCAATTATCAAATCTCGAAAATATCTATTTTGAGCCGAGTTATGAGCATTTGAAACCTGCTGGCCTAGAATTTTCTAGGCCACCAATCTTCAAACGCTTATAACTCGCTTCAAAGTTATTATTTTTGAATTTTAAGGACACCATCCGACTTGAAATACTTAGACGAACTCTTTGAATATACTCATGGCCTAGAAGTCCTAAATTTGGATTTCTAGGCCACCAATTTTCAAATGGCTATAACCCGGCTAAAAATTGAGATTTTTTGAGTTTTGAAAACTGAATTTTGATTTTCTTCAAATCTAAAAATTTTTTCATCAAAAATTTTCAAAAAATTCAAAAAACTAATTTGAAAAATTTTCAGCCGAGTACGTGAGAATGCTGAAAATCTACTCATCCGCCAAAGCGATGAATACCAATGTAAGTCTGTATCTCTGTTTTTCCAGATGTCCCAAAAAAAAAATATTTTTAGTGGTCCTTAGATGATAGCGGTACCCATATGAAGGAAAGCGTGCTCTATTTCACTATCCGCCATAATTATCGAAAATTAGCCTATTATCCGGATTTGCATTTTGAGGCTAAGCCGGTGAGGGTACAAACTACAAAGACTACAAATTACAGTAATTTTTTGCAGTTTGGAAAGAATGGTGCCTATATTCTGACACGTGGCAAGTCGGATAGGTGTGGGAAGCTGGAAGAGAACTGAATTTTCGAATTTCCTGTTTTTCAAAATAAAAATTTTATTCGAATTAACTTAAAACATGATTATATACAGTAATCCGGAAATAAAAACTACAGTAATCCGGGAAAAGCATCATTCCCATAGCATTTTCAGCTCGTTCATTCGTTTCTCCTGACTCTCGACCTGATTCGTGATGTGGTGGATGGTCCGTTGACGGTGCCTTCTGACGTATTTGATGCAGAAGATGATGAGCAATGGAAGGGTTACGGTAGCGTAGGAGGTGGCCTAAAAATCGAGGTTTTCGGAAGTTTTTGAATTTTTGAAATCGGTGGATTTTGGGCCGAGTTATGAGTGTTAGAAGTTTGGTGGCCTAGAAATCCAAATTTTGGGAAACTAGGCCATGTTTATATTCAAAATGTTTCTCAATACCTCAAAAGTATTTTAGTGTTTTTAAAACTCGAAAGTATGCATTTTGAAGCAAGTTATGACTATTTGAAATTTGATGGCCTAGAAATTTCTAGGCCACCAATCTTCAAATTTTCATAAATCGCTTGAAAAATGAATTTTTTTTTATTTTGAAAACGGAGATCACCTCCAAATGGTCTGACAAACATTTTGAATATAGTTGTGGCCTAGAAAACCAAATGTTGGATTTCTAGGCCACCGGTAAAACATGGCCTAGCAAACCAAATCTTAATAAGCTAGGCCATGATTATATTCAACATGTTTGTCACATTCTGACACTACGCGTTGTGTTTTCAAAACTCAAATTGCTCAATTTTAAAGCGAGTTATAAGCATTTGTGACCAGTGGCCTAGTTTTTGAAAATTCTAGGCCACCAGATAGAAAAGCTCATACCTCTCTTCAAAATCAAAATTTTTGAATTCTGAAAAGTATAATAGATTTGGCTCGGTCTACTTAACATTTTCAATATAATAGTAGCCTAGAAGAGCAGTTGAGTTTTCTAGGCCACCAGATGCAAACTCTCATAACTCGCTTCAAATTTGGAATTTTAAAAATTTTTTAAAAGTTTCAAAAACTCACATAAACCCAAATAACCACATTGTTGTACAGTGACACTGGGATAGATTCGCGGACCAGACGGAAAAGATAACTGCCACCAGCATAGATTCCAAGTGCACTAATCTGAGCAATCACCAAAACTGATATCGATTTCGATGTCATTATCGCTTCGGACCGTTGATATTGGAATTGCACGTCGTATCGGGTCCTGTACAATTTCTCGTTGTACTCAGTTAGGTAGTGACCGAGAACAGCGGTTTCGTCATCAGCCAAATAGTCAGTCCTAAGCAAAAGATTTGGAAATTTAGGGAAAATGAAAGATTAGTAGGTCTAGAGGACCTGTATAGCTGTATAGGATAGATTGAAAGTTGATGGTCAGAATGGAAGAAAAATGAAGTTCCTAGGCCGTCTGGGAGCTGAGATATGGTCATTTGAACTATCTGCGTCTCTCTAGCTAGAGGCGCAGAATGTCTCGTCGTCTACGTCTCTTCAAATATTCAAATCGCTATATCTCGGCTCCCAGAGAAGCTAGAAGCATGAACATTTTTTTGATTTGTTCAGTTTCTGACGTATTTCTTGAAAATTAAAAAATTCAAAAGTTTTGTTCGAAGGAATCTCAGGAACAGAAACAAATTGACGGCCTGGAGAGCTCAAGTTGGCCTAGAAAACGTTAAGGCGTCTAGAGGGTCAGAATGAAACAAAAATGAAGTTTCTAGGCTATCTGGGAGCTGAGATACAAGCCTTAGAAGTCTAGAGGTCAGAGACGCAGTTTCTCTCGTTGTCTGCGTCTTTTCAAATTTTCAAATTGCTGTATCTCGGCTCCCAGATAAGCTAGAAACATGAAACTCTCTGTGTTCTTCTCAATTTTTGACGAGTTTTTCGAAACTCCAAAAATTGAAATTTTCACGAATTTTCAAAAAATATGGATGGTCTAGAAAACTCAAGCTGGCCTAGAAAATGTTAAGGCGTCTAGAGAGTTAGAACAGAAGAAAAATTAAGTTTCTAGGCCACCTGGGAGCTGAGATATGGTCATTTGAAATTTTAGATGTCTGAGTCTCTCAAGTCAGAGACGCAGAGTGTCTCGTTGTCTGCGTCTCTTCAAAACTTCAAACCGCTATATCTCAGCTCCTAGATGAGCTAGAAACATGAAACATTTTTGTGATCGTCTCAATTTTCGACGAATTTTTTGAAACTCTAAAATTTGAAAACTTTAGCGGCAAAATTTTTCACGAATTTTCAAAAAATATTGATGGTCTAAAACTCAAACTGGCCTAGAAGATGTTAAGGTAGCCGAACTAGTCAGGATAGAAGAAAAATGAAGTTTCTAGGCCAACTGGGAGCTGATTTACAGACATTTGAATTTTTTGATGTCTGCGTCTCTTATGCTGAGCGAGAGACGCAGAGTGTCTCGTCGTCTGCGTTTCTCGCCTTCCAAAAATCAAAGCGCTAAATCTCGGCTCCCAGAAGAGCTAAAAACACGGTTTTTGTCTCATTTTCTTCCTTTCTTTTCTGTCTATCTGTCTGTCTGGTATTTCCAGATATCCAGAAATTTTATAATGTCAAAGCGAAAACTCAAAAAGAAAAAGAGCAAAGCAGTGAAAAAAGAAAACCCAACAAACCTCTTGGAGTGCATTTTATTGACATACAGTAATCCCAAATTGATTAAAAAATTTGAAATTGTCAAAATAATACTGCTCATCAGCCACAAGTTGGCTTTTTCGGCGTCTTGTTTTTTGAAAAATTGACAACTCGGGAGGTAATCGTCGCCGGTTTCCTTTCCGGAAAGTACCAGGAACTGCACAAAGATGTTGACGAGTATCTGGAAGAGTAATTTTTGGTGGCCTAGAAATCCCAACAATGGGCTTTCTAGGCCACCGGAGAGCCGAGAAACAGCCCTTTGAAGTTTGATGGCCTAGAATCCGACAAAACTCGGCCATCACTTCTTCTTACCGTCAAAACTGCCAACACGCGTCCCGGCCAGCTATGATATTTGTAATAAATTGATGGAAGGAAGGTTGCGATGAGTCTGAAAATTATTCAGATGACCTAGAAAAATTTCTAGGCCACTTACCCATCTAAAGTAAGCGCCGAATGAATGTAAATCAATCCACTGATCCCGAAGAACAGGGTTCGTCCAGAATTGACACAGTCATCGGAGGAGAAGAAAATATGGCAAGGATCATCGGCGTAGACGAAGCTTCGGTACATTAGGGACCACTGGAAGACAAATGATGTCCTAGGAAACTCAAACTGGCCTAGAAGATGTTAGGGTGGCCGAACTAGTCAGGATAGAAGAAAAATGAAGATTCTAGGCCACCTGGGAGCTGAGATATAGCCATTTGAAATTTAGATGTCTGCGTCTCTCATGCAGAGCGAGAGACGCAGAGTGTCTTGTCGTCTGCGTCTCCTCAAAACTTCAAATCGCTGTATCTCGGCTCCCAGATAGGCTAGAAACATGGAACTTTTTGTGATCTGTTTAGTTTTTAACGTATTTTTAGAAAATCAGAAAATACAAACAAACAATTGAGGATGCCCACGAAAAAAAGCTATGGCCTAGAAAACTCAAGCTGGCCTAGAAGATGTTAAGGTGGCCGAACTAGTCAGCATGGAAGAAAAATGAAAATTCTAGGCCACCTGGGAGCAGAAATATAGACATTTGAAGTTTGGCTGTCTGCGTCTCTCATGCCGAGGCGAGAGACGCAGCGTGTCTCGTCGTCTGCGTCTCTTCAAAACTTTAATAGTTCATATCTCGGCTCCCAGATAAGCTAGAAGCTTGAAACTCCTTGTGATCTGTGCAGTTTTTGACGTATTTTTAGAAAACAAAAAAATCATTAGAGTTCGCTTCTAGGGAATTTCAGGAACTTAAAAAAATGGGGGTCTAGAAAGCACAAGCTGGCCTAGAAGATGTTAAGGTGGCCGAACTGGTCGAAATGGAAGAAAAATGAAGTTTCTAGGCCGTCTGGGAGCTGACAAATAGTCATTTGAAGTTTTAGATGTCTGCGTCTCTCAAGCTAGAGACGCAGAGTGTCTTGTCGTCTGCGTCTCTTTAAAACTTCAAATCGCTGTATCTCGGCTCCCAGATGAGCTGGAAACATGAAACTTTTTGTGACTTGTTTAGTTTTTGATAAAATTTTTTGAACATAAAAATTCCAAGAAGCCGTTCTACAAATCCCCCAAAAAAAATTCACCTGAAGTCCAACATGAGCAGTATCATGAATCAGCGCGAACAGCAGCGCCAAATACAGTAGAAGGGTCGTTGATTCGTTGAAAATCGGATGTTTCCTCATGAACCGAGTACAGTAACCCACGCCAACTACGCAGCCAATCGATAAAAATGTGCAATAGATGATGTTCATTCTTAGGATCCAAGACGTTTGAAGAATCATTTGGTCTGGAGAGGCACGGAATGGACAGGATGTGTCATTGGTTAGACCGTAGATGACGGGAACGTCCATTCTGAAATTTTAGGGTTATCTGGACAAATTGACAAACGTACAGAAGGACAAGAAGAATAAAAAGGAACAAAATAGGACAAAAACCAAGTCTCTAGGTTTTCTAGGAGCTGAGATACAGCCATTTGAAGTTTCGAAGGCGAGAGACGCAGACAACGAGACACTCTAATTGTCTGTGTCTCTTCAAAACTTCAAACTGGTGTATCTTGGGTTCTAGAAGAGCTAGAAAAGTGATTTTTGGTGCAAAATGAAGGGTTTTGGGTATATTTTTGGAAATTCTAGAAAAATGTATGTTTCAGAAAGTGTCCAAGTTTGAGAAACTTATGGATCTGGAAATTTCCGAAAACTCAAAAATTATAAAAGTAGGAGTTAAGAAATTCGAGAAGTTTTGAGATAATTTTCAGGTTACAATGTTGCGAATTTTTTCTCAAAATCTGAAATTCTAAAAAAAATCTAAAAGTCAAAAATCAGAAAAACAAACTTTTTCTATATAATTCAATACACTTTGTTAATCTAGTTGTTCTTATGAAATCAGCATTTTTGGAGAGAAAAAAAGAAATTGTGACGAAAATGTATTTTTTCAAAAAAAAATTGATTTAGATGGTTTTCCAGATATTCAAAAAATCAGAAATTCAAAAATGGAGTTTTCAAAATCCAACTTTTTGAAATTTGAAAATTAGAATTTCAGATATTTTAAAAATTCAGAAATTCAGAAATTCAGAAATTCAGAAATTCAGAAATTCAGAAATTCAGAAATTCAGAAATTCAGAAATTCAGAAATTCAGAAATTCAGAAATTCAGAAATTCAGAAATTCAGAAATTCAGAAATTCAGAAATTCAGAAATTCAGAAATTCAGAAATTCAGTAATTCAGAAATTCAGAAATTCAGAAATTCAGAAATTCAGAAATTCGGAAATTCAGAAATTCAGGAATTCAGAAATTCAAAAATTCAGAGAAATTGAGAAATTCAGAAATTGAGAAATTGAGAAATTCAGAAATTCAGAAATTCAGAAATTCAGAAATTCAGTAATTCAGAAATTCAGAAATTCAGAAATTCAGAAATTCAGAAATTCGGAAATTCAGAAATTCAGGAATTCAGAAATTCAAAAATTCAGAGAAATTGAGAAATTCAGAAATTGAGAAATTGAGAAATTCAGAAATTCAGAAATTCAGAAATTCAAAAATTCAAAAATTCAGAAATTCGGAAATTCAGAAATTTCAAAAACTCAAAATTTTTTGTCTAAAAATTGATTTTTCAATATTTCAGTTCAACGGTTTCCGGAAAAAAACACACATCATTTTTTGGAATTTATGAAAAAAATTTCTGAATGTTTTCAGGTTTTTTAGGGGAAGGAAAAAGGATATTTATTGGTAAACATAATAAAAACAGGTGCAAAAATAGAAAAAAGGCAATTACGTAATTTGGAGAAAAAGAGAAAAAAAAGGGAAAACTCGAGCAGATCAATTTTTGAAAATTACATAAGGAATATTGAAATAGGTGGGAAATGAATTGTTTTTTTAATTACAGGGGGCCCTTCGATTACAGAGGGCACTTCTGTTTTTCCAAGTTCCTCTCGGAGGGCCCTTTTATTAGAGGGGCCCTTCTAATACAATTCTTACGGTATCACGAAAAAACTAATCTAGAAATCCTGGAATCTTTCAAAAATTCTTTCAAAACAAGGCGGAGCCTAATAGGCTCCGCCCATTTTTGATCACTTTTGCGTGATTCGAAAAATGGTCGAAAAGCTTGGTTTTCCGGTTCAAAGACCATTTTTTTCATGAATCTAGAAAAAAAAACAGATTAAATTTTCATGGGCATCATAAAAATGATATGAGGATTACTGTAGGTAATTGGATTAACAATTTTTTGGAATTTTTCGATTTTTTGGAAACTAGAAATTCCGAACAGAAAGAGCAAAGAAAAGAAGGGACAAAATGAAAAAAAAGAAGAAAAAGAGCCAGAATAAAAATTAATTGGTCATTTTAATTGGCCAATTAATTGTCTTCTAGAAATTTCCTTTTGAAGGGAATTGGGACCATAAAAATTTTATTTGAAAAAGAGAGAATTAGAGAAAAGTAGAGAAAGAGCTAATTTTAGAATTTTGTTTTCAAAAAATGCGAAAACTTGGATTCAGAAATTCAGAAATTCAGAAACTCAGAAATTCAGAAATTCAGAAATTCGGAAATTCAGGAACTCTGAAATTCAGAAATTCAGAAATTCAGAAATTCGGAAATTCAGGAACTCTGAAATTCAGAAATTCAGAAATTCAGAAATTCAGAAATTCCGAAATCCAAAAATTCAGAAATCCAAAAATTCAGAAATCCAAAAATTCAAAAATTCGAAAATTGAAAACAGGAGCTCAAACGTAACAATAAGGAATCTAAAAATCTGAAGAAAATGATAAGAAGGAAAAAAAGAGAAAATCTGGAAGAAAAAAAAGTGCAGGTGCAAAGAATGATGACGGAGGTGTTGCCGGAGACCGGATGTCAAAGAGGGGGAGGAAAAAAAACTGAAATTAAAAAAATCTTTATTTCAAAAGTGTGCACTTTTAGAAGAACAAAAAAATTTGAAAAAAAATTTGAAAAAAAATTTTTTTTTTCGATTTTCTGAAATTTCGAAAAATCCGAATTTTCAATTTTTCTGATTTAAATAGGCTAAAAACGATTACAAACACTCGAAAATAGAAGCAAAAAATATTTACCACCTTGCGGACTCGAACCCGGGTGCTCAGATTGGTAGTTGATCATTTGGAAATCCCACTGAGCCATTCTTGCATTTTTTGGAAAATGCGCTAAAAACAACTAAATATGGTTTTTTTATAGCTTTTTAAAGCATTTTTTGTGGTTCCAGGTCAGTTTTTTACACATTGGAACTTTTAAAAATTAGAAAAAAATCACGTTGTATATTAAAACATCCACATTTTAATGAAAATCATTATTTCTATAATAAAATTTGTGTGCACAGAAGCATCGTTCAATAATTCCTGTAAATTTTTTGTGTGTTCGGACCGAGAGGATTTTTATTAAAAATGAGCCCAGAAATGCAATTGATTTTCCCGATTTGGCTTGTTTCGTTCTCCGCTTTTCTCGTTTTTTGTGTCTCGAAGAAATCACAAAAAAGGTGAAATTTTTTGAATTCTAAAAAATTCAAAATTTTTCTATGTAATTAATTTTTTTTATTATTCGGAGTTTCCTGAATTTTCATAAAATCGAAATTTTGGATTTTTCGAAATTTTTAGGATTTTCAGAATTTTTTGGAATTTTTGAATAACCGAATTTCTGAATTTCTGAATTTCTGAATTTCTAAATTTCTCAATTTCTAAATTTCTCAATTTCTGAATTTCTGAATTTCAGAGTTCCTGAATTTCTGAATTTCTGAATTTCTGAATTTCTGAATTTCTGAATTTCTGAATTTCAGAGGTCCTGAATTTTTGAATTNCTGAATTTCTAAATTCCTGAATTTCTGAATTTCTGAATTTCTAAATTTCTCAATTTCTGAATTTCTGAATTTCTGAATTTCTGAATTTCTGAATTTCAGAGTTCCTGAATTTCTGAATTTCTGAATTTCTGAATTTCAGAGTTCCTGAATTTCTGAATTTCTGAATTTCTAAATTTCTGAATTTCTGAATTTTTGAATTTCTAAATTTCTGAATTTCTGAATTTCTGAATTTCTGAATTTCTGAATTTCTGAATTTCTAAATTTCTCAATTTCTGAATTTCTGAATTTCTAAATTTCTGAATTTCTGAATTTCTGAATTTCTGAATTTCTGAATTTCTGAATTTCTGAATTTCTGAATTTCTGAATTTCTGAATTTCTAAATTTCTCAATTTCTGAATTTCTCAATTTCTGAATTTCTGAATTTCTAAATTTCTGAATTTCTGAATTTTTGAATTTCTAAATTTCTGAATTTCTGAATTTTTGAATTTCTAAATTTCTGAATTTCTGAATTTTTGGATTTCAGAGTTCCTGAATTTCTGAATTTCGGAAAAAAAGGTTTTTAGAGTTTTTTCAGCATTTTGAAATTTCGAAACTCCAAAAATAAAAATTTTCAGCAGCAATTCCAGCACTCGAGAAGTTTCTGAGCGACGCGTCAAAGGAGCGACAGCCACCTCTCAAGCGTCTGAAAAATCGGAGAAAGGGCTTTCCAGTGAGAAAAGTGTGAAAAGTACGAAAAGTACAAAGAAGGAGAAGAATATGACGTAAGTTTGGGGAAGATCCGAAATTTTGGATTTTTGAAATTTTTGAAAAAATTTTTTTAAATTTTTTTTTGAATTTTTGTCATTAGAGCGAATTTTCTATCAGAATCGATTCTCTGAAAGTGCCTCGGCCGTCACGACAATCTACCAATTCGAATTCTCAAAAAGATTCGAAATCTCAAAAATCGTCAAAAGAGAAATCAACGCAAGCTGGCAGTTCGAAGGGGACAATTCCACCGGAAACCGATTCGGCAAAAACTGAACTCATCGAAGTACCACTGGGAAAAGCCGCGAGGTTTGAATTTTTTGAAAAAAAAATTTTTTTTGTATTCTTTACATTTCAAAAAGTCCCAAAACCCCTTCAAAATGCTTTAAAATTCTTTAAAAAAACTTTTTTTTTGGTGTTTTTGGAGCTTTTCTATAAATATGCACGAATGGCTCAGTGGAGATTTCCAAGAAGTCAACTACCAAACTGAACACCCAGGTTCGAGTCCGCTTGGTGGCAAATGTTTTTTGCTTCTTTTTCTGGGTGTTTTTAATTGTTTATAACCTATTTTAATCAGAATTTCAGATTTTTCAAAATTCCAGAAATTGAAAATTTTGAAAAACAATTTTTTTTTGAAGTTTTAAAATTTGATTTCATTGGATTTTTTTGAATTTACAGTGTAAAAAAAAATGATTTCCACTGTTCTACATTTCCTTGCAGTTTTCGAAAAAAAAAATTCAGAAATTTTTTTAAATCCAAAATCTGGAAGGTACCGAGCTCGAA